GGGGTCAGCAAGGGGAAGAGAAGAGAGGGAGAAAGAGGGGCGCACGCGGGACGTCATTAGTATGGTCGTTAGAAGAGAAGGGGGCGCGGCGCGAGAAGGCGAGAAGCGTGCTAGGCTGGTCGGAGAGAGATGGCTGCGCAGGCGCCGATGGGTCGTGCAAGAGGCTGCAGGGGTTGCGGGGGTCGGCAGAAAGGACGTAGAATGCGGAGGGGACGTGAGAGCGGAGGGCAAGCACGAGGCTAGATCGGGCGCGAGGGAAGTGCAGAGAGGTGAGGGCGTGGGCGTGACGAGGAGCGTGCACTGAGCGGCAAGAGAGAGAGAGAGGAGGAGGCTGCTGGTACAAAGGCACGAGCGATGAGGCGCAGCCACGGCGAGAAGAGCGGGAAAGATGAGGGCGAGAAAGTGAAGCGGCAGCCAGCGCATGCGCGAACGCGGCCTCATTCGTCTGTGCGCGCCGCGCCGCCAGCCAGCAGAGGCGCGACAAGGCCGAGCGGTGCACGTGATTCGCTGCCGCCGCTCGAGATCATCGATTGGCCACCTCGGGGGGGGGGGGGGCACCGCACGCTCTGGCTCCGAACCGTCTGCTCTGGTTCGCGCGCGGGGGGGTCGCAGAATGCAGATTAGAGAAAGCCTCGCAGCAAAATGTGGGGCGTGTCAAAGGCTGTGCGGGCTCGGAGACGGGCGCTGAAGGCAACGGAGAGGCAACGCGCAAAGGCGGCGTTGGGCTGCGCCGCTGGACCTGTGCTGGCGCGCCGCGGCGGCGCGTGTTGGGTTGTGCGCCGCGACGACAGCACGCGCAGCGAACGCCCGTGCGCCGCGCGCCGCCGCCTGCGCCGCGCGCACCGCTTGCTCTCGCGTCGGGGCGGCGGCGCGCCATCGCGCTGCTTGACTTTTGCTCTCTCCGTCATCCTCCCATCTCACGTCTCAGTCATGTCTTGGCAAAGTACGTTTCCCTCACTTTCGCTCCCTTCTCTCCCCGTCTCTTCTCTTGCCTTCGTGTGCCCGTTGCTGACGCCCTTTGCTCCCCGCTCGCAAACAGGCTACGTCGACACCAACCTCGTCGGCACGGGCCACGTCTCGGCCGCCGCCATTCTCGGCCTCAAGGGCGGCGTGTGGGCCAGCAGTGCCGGCTTTACGGTGAGTCAAGAGTATGTTGCGGTGCGGCGCGGGGGAGGGCGGGGGGATGCAGAAGGGGGCAGTAGGCTGCAACAACTGCAGGCGGGCGGCGGGCGGCGGGCGGCGATGTGGGGGCGGGAGAGCGGAGTAAGAGGAAGGGAGTGCGGTGGCAGAGCGACGCAGAGGAGTAGAGCAGAGGAATAAGTGAGGCTGCAGAGACGCACAAGTAGGGTCAGAGGAGAGAGAGAGAGAGAGAGAGAGAGAGAGAGAGAGAGAGAGAGAGAGAGA